GCTATTAGTAATGTTAATCACGTAATGATTATAATGTCTGTTAACCTATTGCCGACGGGCATGCAATGCCCACTGTGAGATTACTTATTTGATTGTTTTTACACATAGATGGCTACACTTGTACTAAGCCACCAATGAGCCAATTACGAGTACTGCCTGTCTTGGCCATTCACCCTTTTCTATAATTTTCGAAAATATTTTACGTTATCTTATTTTTCTACTATTCATGTTTATAACATTATAGTAATTATAATGTTTATGATAAAAATAACACTATCGATATTCGTAGTGCTAGTAAAAAAAAAACATTTTCCCACCAATTCAAGGAAAGGTGAAATTAGGTAAGGCAGAGACATTTCACAAAAAAACCATGGTGCTATATGTAGGTAGAGAACTTTCACAAAACAAAAATATGTAAAACATTACATTTTGCTAGCAGCAGCAAGTTAAAATTCTTTGTGAGTTCTCACAGCACCCAAAGGGTCTGTTATCAAAAAAGTTTAGGACTGCAGACTTAAAGGACCAGTCAGCCCATCACAATGGACTCGTATATTAAAATGTGGGTAGGCAAAGGTGGGTCCTGTTTTAAAACTTTTTTAAGCTTTCTAAGGAAATATGAGAGTATGCTAGAAATAAGTTGCTAGAAAGCATCTTGGACTCTCAAACACTATCTGGTGGTTTGAGTAATTACAATTTCTAGCACATAAGTGATGGATGAATGGAGCTCTAAATTGTTGTAGTATTTTTTTTTACTTCTAGATTTTCTTTACATTGTGAGTTGAAGTGCAATACCAACAAATCTAAGGTTGTGATATTTTGTTTTCCAGACATGAAGATCTTAAGCAGATGCTGGACAGCAACAAGGATGGCCTCAAGTTGGAGGCCATGAAGCGAATCATTGGGGTTGGTGCTTTTAACTCAACTTTTCCTTGGCCTTTCTGTTATTTTGGAGATTAGTACCATAGCTAGTAATGATCATGTGAAGTAACTGTTGTTGTTGTTTTTTTCATTATTCAAATGCAATCTTATACATTGGTTATATAGTTATAGGACCTGTATATGCATCTCAACCAAAACTTATATGTTTCATTAAAAAAAGCATTACACAAACTTTTCTGTTATTTTGTAAATGACTTAATAAATCAGTAATTTTTCTCTGATGTATGCATTTCATGTCAAGGTAGGACAATGCAGAGTAAAGATATTGCAAAAGTATTACCTATTATTATGTTTGCATTTATGTGTATGCATACAGTGAATATAAAAGGTTCTCAAGTTATTGATACTTTTTTCTGTGTTTCTCTTAATGCAGATGGTGGCAAAAGGACGTGATGCTTCAGACCTGTTCCCAGCAGTTGTCAAGAATGTAGTCAGTGCTAACTTGGAGGTGAAGAAGCTGGTGTATGTGTACCTGGTGCGTTATGCAGAGGAGCAACAGGACTTGGCCCTCCTATCTATCTCCACCTTCCAGCGAGCTCTTAAGGTAGACTTGGTGTTTGAAACTTTTTCTATTTGTTTAGTCTTGTTTATATCCTACAGGGATTACTAGGATTCTGCAGCTTACTGACAGTACTTCAATCTAATGTAAGGACGTATTTTATTTTTTAGAGAGAAATATTAGTCATAGTAGTTTAGTAGTTTTATTTTTCATCAGTTTCTATTCTATATTGTATTATGTTGTCATATTAAATCACTTTGAAGCTAATTGTATGGATATTTTTCTTTGATATTCAGCACACTTACTAGAATATTTGCTCATCACCTTATTGTGCAATACTATTATAGAGTCTGGTTTCTAGATCTGTAAACCCGTAAAATAATATAGAACATTCTAAGGAGGAAATCAAAAGAATCCATTTATGTCGAACTATATCTTTGTATCTTATTGAATTGACTACAATAATTTTTCCACAGGACCCCAATCAACTGATTCGAGCATGTGCACTGCGTGTTTTATCCAGCATCCGTGTGCCAGTCATTGTCCCTATCATGATGCTGGCAATCAAGGATGCTGTGAGTGACATGTCTCCCTATGTCCGAAAGACAGCTGCCCATGCCATCCCAAAGCTTTACAAGTAAGTGAGAGGAAGTGTGATGAATAATTTCCTCTCATTTCATTATTGTTCCATACCCCCAAGCTCAAGGGCGTAATGTTCTTATCATATGAAATTGTAAGTCTTCCTCTAAGAAGATTCATTTTTCAAGTAAAAAGGTAGCTGAGTTTGACAGAAGGACTGTATTTTAAAGTTTAAAGAAGATATTTTTATTTATATTGCATTTTTATCTGTGAAATTTTTACATTTTGCTTACCCTTTTTCTTGCAGCCTTGACCCAGAACAAAAAGAGGAGTTAATACAAGTTATTGAGAAATTGCTCTCGGATAAGACAACTCTTGTGGTTGGGTCAGCTGTGATGGCTTTTGAAGAGGTATGTTATTGATTAGGTAACCATAGCTTTTGTTTGTGTATGTGATTCATTTTTTGTGTGTGTCCATGCGTGC